CACTGAGCTGCATCTTCAGGCCTGACCCAAGCTCTTGACCCAATTTCCCCATCCCAACTCATGTGTTTTTTCCTTCATTTGCATGCATGTTGCTCAAGCATAAATTTACAAGATGTTTAATAAATTTTAATTTTTCTCTGATTTAAAGCAACAGATGTAAGCTGGAGGCATGGCTGGAGGCAACAGAGTGCTTGCCTAGCAAGCGTGAAGCCCTGAGTTCAAATTCCAGTACCGCTCCCATCACTGTGTGTGGTGTGTGTGTGTGTGTGTGTGTGTGTGTGTGTTGGATTTGAACTCAGGGCTTTGCACTTGCAAAGCAGGAACTCTATCACTTGAGCCACACCTGCAGTCCATTTTGCCCTGGTATATTTGAAGATGGGGTCTTGCAAACTATTTGCCTGGGGCTGGGGTGGCCTTAAACCTCAATCCTCCTGATCTCAGTTCATTATCACATTACCAGAGGTAATGGTGTTTGAACAACTCAGGTCTACACTTGAACCACTCTACCAGCCCATTTTTATGAAAGGTTTTTTCAAGGTAGGGTCTCGCTCTCTCAAACTATTTGTCCATGCTGGCTTGGAACCGAAATCCTCCTGATCTCTGCCTCCTCAGTAGCTAGGATTACACATGTGAACTACCAGCGCCTGGCCAGAGGTGATCATTGTAAAAATGTTGTTGTATAACTAACATCCAGAAGTAGAATTAGTCATTGGCAGCTGTTCTGTTCCTTTCCCTAAAACTTAATAAATATCTCAGATAACCAAGAAAGATTGAGAAAAAGGGTGGTGGAGTGGCTCAAGTGGTAAAGCACCTGCCTAGCAAGTGTGAGACCCTGGGCTCAAACCCCAGAACCGCACCCCCCTCAAAAAAAAGTTTTACAAAAGTTTATTCAGGCACTGTGGTTCACGCCTATAATCTAGCTACTCAGAAGAATTTCAGTTCCAAAGGCCAGCATGGGCAAATAGTTCAAGAGAGCAAGACCCTATCTTGAAAAAACCTTTCATAAAAAGGGACTGGTGGAGTGGGTCAAGGTGTAGACCGAGTTGTTCAAACCCCAGTATGGCAAAAAGAAAAAAAAAAAAAAAGATCCACTCAGTACAGATTTGTTGAGCAACCTGCCGTAGGCTAGACACTGTTCTGGATTTAGTTACACAGTAATTCCCCAAATTGTCCTCATTCTCAAGGAGCCACATTTAGTTGGGTAGGTAGACTGAAAAATCAACAAAGCCAGCGTTGGTGGTACTGAGTACTGTGAAGAAAAATATGAAGCAAAGAAAGATGAGAGGCTGTCTGCATTGCTTTCTACAGATGTGTAGGAAGGCCTCCCTGAGAAATGACACTTGATCAGGGTTCAGAAGGAAGTGAGTGAGCCATTCATCCACCATTCATTCATCAAGTATTTGTCAAACGTGTTCCCAGACCCTGAGGACCTGGCAGTGAATGTCTAGGAGATATTCTGTCATTGCATTCTGATTCACATCAATTTCCTGTTCATTGCAGAAACCTTGCTCTGTTTTTTTGTTTGTTTGTTTTGTTTTATTTGCTGTACTAGAGCTTGAACTCAGGGCCTTCACCTTGAGCCACTCCACCAGCCCTTTTTGTGATAGCTATTTTCAAGATAGGGTCTCTCAAACTACTTGCCTGGGCTGGCTTCGAACCTCAATTCTCCTGATCTCTGCTTCCTGAGTTGCTAGGATTACAGGCATGAGCCATTGGTGCCCAGCTTTGTTTGTTTGTTTGAAACAGGTTCTTGCTATATTGCCTAGACTGCTCTTGAGCTCCTGGGCTCAAGTGATGCTCCTGCCTCATTCTCCCAAGTAGCTGGGACTCCAGGCATGCACCACTACGCCTAACCAAAACCTTGATCTGTTTTACCTAGTGGCTAAGACTGAACTGTTCAGGAAGGGAGGATTAGGAAGAACTACCCTTAGCATTTTAATATGAAGACATAAAATCTACTTTCCTCCCCAGTAAAAGAACTGGCTCAATTTTATCTCTGCTTCCTGTTCCCATCTTAAATGTTGACCAGTTTTCCTAGTTTGTCTTATTTTTACTTTCTCAAATTAATCACTACTGTTAAAATATTTTGTTTTGAATAGTCCTAATTTGTTTAGATAGACTCATATGTTTTATAAATATTTACTTATCATTTCTTCTTGATTCTCATTATTTCCTTTTGGGTTCAGTTTGGGGGCCTGTGGTAGTTAAACTTTGTTTTGTCATCTAAATATGTTTTTACTTTGATCTCTTTTAGGGTATGGCTCAAGTGGCAGAGCACCTGCCTAACAAGCATGAGGCCCTGAGTTCAAATCTCAATACCACCAAAAGAAAAAAATTACTTAATCCAGTTATAATTTGCATTCCTAGCACTAGTTAGACTGAGGTAGGAGAATCAAGAGTGCAAAGCCTACCCAAACATTGTATGCACATATGAATAAAAGAAAAAAAAAGAGTTCAACACCAGCCTGGGCTACATTAGCAAGACCTTGTCTCAAAAACAAAACAAAGCAAAACAAACCTACCATGCACAGGCCCTGGGCGTGGTTCCCAGCACTGCAAAAAACAAAACAAAAAAGAATCCAGTATCTATTAGCAGTCACTCCCTATTCCCCTCTCCCGTGGCCTCTGGCAACCACTTATTCTTTCTGTCTCTATAGAGTTGCTTCATGTCACATAAATGGAATCATACAGTGTGTGTCCTTATGTGTCTGGTTTTTCAGTGTGCAGAATGCTCTCTCCCTTACCCCATTGTTTTGAGATAGGATCTCACTACCCTCAAGTAGTGGAATTACAAGCACGTGCCACTATGCTTGCAATGTGTATGTTTTCAAGGTCCATCCATGTTACAGCATACATGGACGGTATACATCAATACTTCATTTTCTTTCTTTTTTGCAGCACTGGGCTTTGAACTCAGGGCCTCACCACTTGCGCCACTCCACCAGTGCTTCATTTAATATGGCTGAATAATACTACATTGTAGCACATTCTGATTATCCTTTCACAAGTTGATAGATACCTGGATCGTTCCTACTTTTTTTTGGCTATTATGAATAAGGTCAGGTCTGGCAGAGTGGCTCAAGTGGTAGAGCACCTGCCTAGCAACTGCGAGGCCTTGAGTTCAAGCCCCAGTATCACAAAAAATAAATAAATAAGTAAAGAGTCTATGAATAAGGTTGCTTTGAACATTTGTGTACTTTTTTTTTACATTTTCATTAGCATATCTTAGTTGCACAGCGGGGTACCTGAATTAGATTCACCCCCTCCATCATTCTCCCTCATTCCCTCTCCCCACATTCTTGTGTTAACATGGTTTCCATTTTCTTGGGTATACACTTAGGAGTGGAATTGCTGGATCATATGGTAACTCTGTGGTCAAGTTTTTGAAGGACTGTCAAACTGTTTTCTAAAACAACTGCACCATTTTACACTTCCCACAGAAATATATGAAGGTGCCATTTTTCTCCACATGGTCACCAACACTTGTTCTTGCCTGCTTTTGTTTTATTTTAGCCATCCTAATGGGTGTGACGTAGTATCACCTGGTGTATTTTGTGTGTTTGTTTTCATGCTCTACAGTTTGTAGACAGGATACTCTTTTCTTTTAATGACCTGCTGTGGTGACCACGTTGGTATTTGTTCAGCACCACCGCTGCAGCTGGCTTTTTTTGTAGGCTGTGGTATTCCACTGTATAAATCCACCATAATTTAACCAGTTCCTGATTGCTGGACTTTCCCAGTCTTTTGCTATTAGAACGGTGCTTAACGACTGACTACCTCTGCACTCCACAGGTGGAGGATAATTCCTAGACGTGGAATTCTGGGTTAAAGGGCACAGGCACTGTGATAATGATGAACCAAAACTTGCTGTGGGCTGAGCCGGGAAGTTGACTTCTAAGTGCCTGAGGGTTTGCCCGCCAGCACGTCTTCATCCCCAACTTTCTCCTCTCCCGGCTTCCCCACCCTTCTTCCGGGCAGAACAAACAGCCTGGAAAGTAAGGGAAAGGTCGCGGTGGGGATCAGGCTGCTTCCTTCCCGTCAGTTCGTTCAGTGCCTTTCAGCAGAGCTATGAGAGCTCCCGGGTGCCCTCCCAAACAGCCCGGCACTTGCTATGCAGGCCCGATGGCCAGTTCTGGTGCTCAGGGGACCCCGATTTCAGTCACCCCGCTTTGAGTCACCCTGCAGGCGAGCTTTGGCCCATTCCTCTCCTCCCCGGGAGGAAGGCGCCTCACAGGCTCCCTTCCACAGCATAGATGTTGTCTAGGGGCCTCCCCTCTCTCAGAATCTCCTCATAAATATTTTATTTTTTGGGGGAAGGGGGTGTTGAGACAGGGTCTCCCTAGTAACCCAGGCTGACCTGGAACTCGCGATCCTCCTCCTCCGCTTCTCGAATGCTGGGAATTACATACACGCACCACCACGCCCCGCTAATTTCACGTTTCTTAAACTACATAACTCTTAGAAAGTAGGGCTTAACCACTCCAGAGAGATCGGTGACAGATTAAACTTTAGGATCTGGAATGAGGGTGAAGGGTGGCATCTAAATATCGTGTCTTTAAGAAGCGAAACAAACATTCCCCCTTAAGTCCCCGAAATGGAGAGAACAGGGATGGGATGGGGGTTTGGCGCTCTGACAATTTGCACTTTATGGAGGTGCCCACTGAGCGCCCTCGATTGGGGTCATCAGGTGTTTTCCGGTGATGCGGAGTAGGGTCAATGCGCATTCGGGTTCCTCCACAAGTTTCTTCTAGGCTGAGTTGGTATTCATGCCCAGTACGATGCGACAGAAGCAGTCCTTCCCCGGACCACCTACGCCTGGTCCCCAACTCCCACCCACGCGCGCGCAGGGGCGTGGCCGCGGACGTGCTTGCCGGCGTGTGCGTGCGGGCGCGAGTGCGCATGCGCATGCTCTCCAGGGGGCCGGGCCACGACTATAAGGGGCGGGGCCAAGGCGGCCTTGCTCTGGCTTCGCTGGTTGCGCTTCGGTGTTTGGTGTGTGCAATCTGCGTGCGTTGAACTCCCGCGCCTTTGCTAGTCTGCTGGCTTCCTCCTGATTCCCGTCCTGCCTGCTGCGATAGCGAGGCGAGCGTGCCTCTGCAGCTCTCCACTGTTGAGGTGAGTGGCGCTGGGCTTCGCAGGCCTGGGATCCATTCCCGGGCTCCCCGCCCCCATCCCTCGCTGCGTGTCGAGCTGCCTGCTTAGCGTTCCTAGGCTGGGGCTGCGTCGCGGGAAACCTCCCTTCTTATCCCCACCTAGGCAACCGCACCAGCCCCATTTCTCTTGGAGTGGCCCTAACTAGGATCCCTTGGCGGTCCCATCCAAGCTCGCCAGAGAGGGGTTAGGCGGCTCTGCTATGCCCTTTCCACCGCAGCATTTAGCCTGTCGTGTGTAACGTCTCTTGAGGGCAGGGCTTGTGTGTACAGGGTTACCGGGGCCCTAGGACCTTCTAGGGTGCCTAACATACTGTAAGCATTCAGGTGTTGAATAAGTGAACTTTCTCCGGTTATATTGACTTTCAGAAAGTTTATGGTCCACCGGAATCTGACTGTGTTGTGGGAGAGACCTCTAGGCAAGTTGCCTTTTAGGGCTTGTTCTTATATTCCCTCTGTCCCCTATGAAAAGACTTGGTCTCCACTTCAGCTACTGGTACTATAGTACAGGGTTTGTGTATTGCACTCGGCAGGAACAGTCGTCAGAGTTTTTGCCTAGCCAGGTGCTAGGGGCTCACTACTGTAATCCTAGGTACTCAATAGGCAGAGTTCAGCCACTGGAAGCCAGCCCTGGCCCATAGTTCACAAGAAATACCCAACATAAAACAGGGCTGGTGGAGTGGCTCAAGTGGTAGAGCACCTGCTTAGCAAGTGTGAGGCCCTGAGTTCAAATCTTAGTACCAAAGAAAAGTTTTTTGTTTGTGTTTTGTTGGTTTTTTGAGAAGAGTTTCACTAGGTAGCTCAGGCTGGCCTGAAACTCCATATGTAGCCAGGATGGCCTTGAACTCAAGATCTTCCTGCCTCATCCCCCTAAGTCCAAGCTCACCTGCTCCTGAGCCTGGAACACTGGGCCAATCTCTTCCATTCCCTAAGCCTCAAGATCCCATCATAAAAGTGAACTAGCTGAGCTAGATAATGGCACTAACATTCCTCTGGTAGATTAGATTCTGTAACTGTGGGTGAGGCACGACCACCCAAGCAAGATTTTAAAGGACAGTCTTTATTAGCTGGCTGGTGACTGCTCTGACCAACAGGTTGTTGAGTCTCAGAGAGCAGCCCCATTCCAACTTTTAGCAGGGTTTATAAGGCAAAAATCCTGGCAATCTTTGCAAAGCAAGCAAGCCTGGGTACAGAAGCGAGACAATGGCTATTTGCTAAGGTACAGAAATGAGACAATGGTTATTATCTATGAGTATGAATGAACACAATCCACACAGTCATTTGACCATATTCTAGTTTAGTTCCTTCTGTTCTTTTAACTTTATGAGAACCAGACTCCCTCCATACCTCCCTCAGCAAGGAAATTAAAAACAGCACCTGATTAATAGCTCCCCTCTACACCTGATTAATGGCTTCCCTCTGGCTAAGTTGTTAACCATTTCATAACTAAGTGCTTTATTGATGGAGTCCCGTGGCTTCCCTGCCTCCAGAGTCTGGAATGAATTCATCATTGTCCCCTGTCTCTCTCTTTTTTTGGCGGTACCTGAGTTTGAACTCAGGGTCTACACCTTGAGCCACTCCACCAGCCCTTTTTTTGTGATGGGTTTTTTTGGAGATAGGTATTATAGGCTCTCACTTCTACACCCATCCAGAAGTAAAAGTCCTAGGCAGTGCTTTGAATTAGTCAGAAGCAGTGGTTCCATAGCTGTGGAGTTTGCAGGGTAAATATGCTTGGAGATTCTGCTGTGGGAGAGCATGCACTGGTCTCTGTCTCCCTGGCAGGCAGAGCCCCTCCCTTAGCTCATGGGAAGACAGAAGGAGCTGGCTGGATTTATGCATATCTCAAAAGACTGTAGATAACGCATTCCTCCTCTCTTTTCTCAGAACCCAGAGGCCCTCCAGAAGCAAAGGAACCAGGTCCTTTCAGCCATGAAGTATGTGTTGAACCTCTACCTACTCGGTGTGGCATTGACCCTGCTCTCCATCTTCTTTAGACTGATGGAGTCCCTGGAGAGGGCACTGGAGAGGCCATTGCCTGAGAGCTCCTGGGCCACCAGAGGTCAGCTGGCCAACACAGAGCCCCCAAGGGCCTTCCAGACCATCCTTCCAGAGGGGTGCAATAAAATCTTCCATCGCCAGCCATACCCTGAAACACTGACCTCAGCATGTCCGGCCAGATGTTCATTTCCTATCAGGCAAGCTCACAGCACCAGTGTTTCCCAAGAACAGGCCTGCATAGATGCTCCTTGCTGTGGACGAAGAGCCCGTTTAATGCGCAGGTGTGAGTGGGTTGCCTATGACTGTGAGCACAGTGCTCTCACTCTTCTCCCCAGGGTCTGCTGTATGCTTTGCTGTCCTCAGCATTGTGACTCAGACACTTCTGAGATGGGGACTTGTGCTGCAGCGTCATCTGGTGGGAGATGGTGTTTTCAATTGTACATCCTAAATATCTGCCAGGAGTTCCTTTGGATATGGTATCTGGTAGTCAGCTTATTTGGAATTCAGTCTCTCTTCCCATGAGAGCTCTTCTGAGTTTGGATAACAAGTGGAGGTGTGGGTTGGCTATAAGGAGGGGAAGGATGGAGTATCCAGTGTCTGATTCTCGCCGTTTTAAGTTCTTCGTCAAACATATATCGTGTATGTTTGTGTTTGTAATGTGTAATAGTGTGAAGGGAACAGTGTGATGACCAAGCCTGCTCAGGACTTGCCTTATGGCCACCATGTGGTTTAAATGAGTTTTTCTAATGCAATAAAGTTGAATATATATTTCCATTATGTGTCATTTTGACTTCTGCTCTTGAAATTGTGGTAGGAAAGGGTCTTATTTCCTAGCTCTGAGGTTTAACTTCCAAAACTTGGGAGCAGGGAAGTGCTTAAAGCTTTGTTTAAACATAAACCTCTGAAACTGGGGACAGAGGCACTTAGCTCTACCCTGTGTCAACCAGTTATTTGAGCCTAGGCCACAACTATTACAGTCAACTCTCATAACCACAGATGTTGTAGCCTTGGAGTCAGCCAACTACAGATTGAAGTGGGTTTTTTTGTTTGTTTAGTGGTTCTGGGGTTTGAACTCAGGACCTCATGCTTGCTGGGCAGGCTCTCTACCACTTGAGCCCACTCTACCATCCCCTTTTTTGTGTTGGGTATTTTCAAGATAAGGTCTCATTATTTGCCCAGGCTGGCTTTAAACTGTGATTCTCCTGATCTTGGCCTCTTGAGTAGCTATGATTACAGTTGTGAGCCACCAGTGCCCAGCTAATGCTGGGGATTGAACTGAGGGCCTTCTACATGGTAGGCAAGTCCTCCACCACTGACACTGAGCTACATCCCCATGCTCTCAGGAGAGCATTTTTAAATACTCAGCACTGTGCTGAACTGTACAGACCTTTTGCCTTGTCATTACTCCCTAAACAATATCTGTAACAACTATTTACACAACATTTTCACTGTATTAGGTATTATAAGTAACCTAGAGATGATTTAAAGTATATGGGAGGATAGCCTTAAGTTATATGCAAAGACTGTGTCATTTTACATAAGGGACTTGAGCATCCAAGGTGGGGCCTGGAGTCAATCCCTTGAAGGTACCAATGGACGATTGTTCAGTTCTCTGATGACTTTCCCATCTCTAAAGAAGAAAATTTACCCTTCTGCCAGTCACTTTGAGTCTTTAAGTGGAAGAGAACTACCAATCCAGGAGGCACTGGCTTTTTTCTTCTGTACTCTTCGATGTTTTACTCACCAAAGTGGCTGCTTAATTCTGATTGTTCTCAAAGTCAGCTGGTATAATGTCTCATGTCACAGATAATGTCTTTGCTTATTTGAGACAGCTTTGATAAGTGGCCCAGGTTGGTCTTGAACTTTTGATCCTCCATCCTTAGCCTTTCTAGGTAACTCTCACCCCAATCCAAGAAGCTTGACCTTTTCTCAAGAATGGAAGAGTTTTAGGTCAGTGTGGTGATGCACACCTATAATCCCAGTACTCAGAAGGCAGAGGTAGGAGGGTTGAGAGTTTGAGGCAGCCTAAGCTACACAAAGACCCTGTTTCAAAAAAACTTTTTTTTTCTCATACCCACCACTCCTCTATTCCCTGTCCCATGTGCAAGTATATTCACTGTGTCTCAGATAATTACATATTCACACCTCCATCTGGGTATATGTCACTTTATGAATTTGGTTTCCTTTTGCCAAAAGAGAATGAGAGCGCAGTGTCCTCTGTTAAGCAACATTTGCTTCCTGAGTGTTCTTAGTCTTAAATCCTGTTCCCTGAGAAGCCAGTGACTCAGACATCACTTGTTTTGTTCTTTGTGTAGTGGTGGGGACAGGGACTGGAGTTTGAACTCAGGGCTTCACACTTGCAAGGCAGGTGTTCTGCCACTTAAGCCACACCTGTAGTCCATTTTCCTCTGGTTATTTTGGAGATGGAGTCATGTGAACTATTTTCCTGGGCTGCCTTGGATCCATAATCCTCCAAGTAGTTGGGATTATAGGCATGAGCTTCAGGCTTCACTCTTATCTATTGCATATAGTAGTGAGTAGTGCTGCATCTCAAGTGTTTCTGCTTCCCGCCTTCTGAGCACATGGTAAACTAGTTCCTTTGAGATTGACAGAATTTATGTGACTTGACTTTGCTAGTATAGTACTCTCCAAAATGTAGTGACTTTTATCTCTGTCATGTGCCAGTACCTGCCCTTTTCTAGGTATATTTCTTGTTTGTTTAAGACAGGGTTTCACTATGTAGCTCAGGCTGGCCTTAAAACTGGTGATCTTCCTGCCTCAGCCTCCCCAGTGCCTAGTTTACAAGTGTGTACCACCACACTGGGCTTAGAAATATTTCTTAAGCACATATGAATAAAATGAATTTTAAAAATTTTTAAAAAGTTAAAAACAAAAACAAAAAAATACTTCTTAAACTTGGTATATTTTCTCCTCATGATTCTCTAATTTGGGTATTTCACACTTTCAGTTGGAGAGCTGCTTTTCCCCCAGCCAAAGCTGGAGTGGTCTACTGTGTGCCACTGCCTTAATGGGGGGGGTCTTTGATCTAAGACAATGTAGTCCACTCAAAGGTTTCAACAACAGATGTGATGACTATATAACTTTCATCTTTCCTACAAGCAGGGTGACCAACTGTCCCTGTTTGACCAGAAGAGCAATTTCTTGGGATGCAGACTTTCAGTGCCAAACCAGTACTGATTTGGGAAACCAGGATGTCTGGTCACCTTACCACTAAGTTTACTTTGATTTGGCTTTAGTCATTCCAACAGTTCTCAGTAAGGGTGAGAAGTATTTGCTTTGTCAACTCTGCGAGCTCACCAATTACAAGTCTCTCTAGATAGCTATGCCTGCTGACGAGCCCAACTCCTCTGCCTATGGTCTGTTGTCAATAGCAACCGGCTAACTGACCGAGGCGGCTCATTTTGTTCCCTGACTCTCCTAGATCCTCAAGCTTATTAAATAACGTCTCTTTTACGTCACTGTAGGCAACAGTTCTACCCAATATTTTGCTATTGCCTACTTCCAACCTCAAGATCTCTTTGCTGCCTTCCATGTAAGTTAATGTCATACACATCAGGGTTTGTTGACTTTTTTGCTTTTTAATATGCAATACTCTCCTCTAATTTCAATTTCTGTGTCAGTCAAGGTTACATTAGGTTAGGTTATACTGTAGCAACAGCATTAAAATCCCAGTGGCTTAAAACAATTGTCCAGGAGGCAGAATTGGGGCCTACACCAACTGGATTTCCCACCCCTCCCCAAGGTCAGGAGCATGAAGCACATCTGCTCAGTGCCTCCCTTGTTTCCTCAGCCCTCACTGCATTGAGCCTGTCCTATTCCATTACTGTATGTTAGATAGGGGAGGGGGGTGGGATGGCTTTTCTTTTCAGTTTATAGATCTCCACCTCAAGCCACATCTGAAACTGGCAGTGAAACTATTGTACATCACCTAGATTGTTAAATTTGATGTCGTAGCTAAATGGAATTCTTGAGTTGTTGCCTTTGGGGAAGGCACGGTGAGTGTAGTCTACCTGCAGGAGAGATGTGAGCTGAAGATTTATCCCACAGAAAGGCCATTAGTGGTAGTCATTGGTGTTCTCCAAGTATTTCTGCCCATGCCTTCTAGGCCCTGTGGTTAGACGGGGCCATGTAACTAATTCTGGAAGAGAGCAGAAGTGACTTGGGTCAGTTTTAGGTTGAAGCATTTAAGACTGGTTCCTAAACCTGCAAGGCCCTCTTTTCTCTCCTCTGCTGCAATGACTAGAATTGCTCCCTATAGAGCTGTCCCATTAGTGTAGATTCTAGAGTAAGGGTGCCAAAGAACAGAGCCCTCAATGGACCCCTGACGAATGGGAAATCAAAGCTGTGGAGGTTTGGGGGCTTTGATACTGCAGTGTAATAGCCCATCTGGAGTGACACATTGCACACAGCACCTATTGGATGCAAGGCATCAACTAAGCCCCATCACCACCTGCCTCATAACATACACAGGTTAGTAGAGAGGAAAGCAGGCAAAAAAAAAAAAATGCATCATGGTTCTGTGACAGAAATATTTGTGTAGGGTACGAAAGGTTATTTGCAGGGAAATATTAAGGAAGAACTTCTTAGAGCATCTGAATTTTTACAAATAAATAGATTTTTGGACCTGCTGACCAAGTTAGGAAAGGGTCAGTGTGAGCAAAAACATGCAGATGGGCAACGCACAGCACATTTTAAAAACTGCAAGTATACATTTCAAATCTCTATTAACTCAAGACCTGAACTCTAACGCCATCTAGTGGAGGAACAAGGGACCACTTTCAACAATCCCTGCTGTTTTTGTTTTTTGTTTTGTTTAGTTTTTCGGTACTGGGGTTTGAACTCAGGGCTTTCATCTTGAGCCACTCCACCAGCCCTCTTTTGTGATGAGTGTTTTTGAGATAAGATCTCACAAACTATTTGCCCGGGATGGCTTCAAATTGCAGTCCTACTGATCTCTGCCTCCTGTAGCTAGGATTACAGGCGTGAGCCACGAAAGGCTGTGGCTCTGTAGCTTAAGATAGTTACCAGAATACTGAGCTGGTCGCCTGTGCCTTATGCCTGTAATCCTAGATACTTGGGCGGATGAGATCAGGAGGATCATGGCTTGAGGCCAGGCCAGGCAAATAGTTCATGAGGCTACATCTCCAAAATAACCAGAGCAAAATGGTTTGGCAGTATGGCTGAAGTGCTAGAACACCTGCTTTGCAAGTGTGAAGCCCAGAGTTCAAACCCCAGTCCCACTGGAAAAAAAAAAACTCAAACAAACAAAAATAAACTGAATACTAAGAACTGGAAGATATGTCGTAGTCCAGCACTGTTCAATAAAAATATAATGCAATAAAAGGAGAAACATATAATGCAAAAAATAAAAATATAATGCAAAGTACATGTATAATTTAAAAATTTCTAACAATC